CCTCTTCCTTCTCTGGTGCCACCTGCTCCCCGCAGCCTCGGTGCAGTGTAGCCATGGCATTCCCTCATCCCCACCGGGTGACCCACAATAGGCCAGTTACGATGCTCTCTCTTGAGAGACTGATGCTAAAACAGTGCCATTTCATTCCCACCGGGGATGATTCCCGGAGCTGTAGTGCCTGTCCTGTCCTTCCAGACACCGATGGCTCACCTCTTAACCTTCCCTCCTGTGAGCCCACAGCCGGCCAAGAGCCTCTGCTGCTTGCTTAGCAAGTGGGCTTCTGTTCCTGGTAACCAGTGAGCCCTAAAGAGGCTGGAAGAAAAAGCGCACCTGTGTCCAGCATCTACTCAGCCAGTCACTGGGCCTGGGGGCGGCCTTTGCTCTGAAGCCTCAGAACAAGCAGAGGCAGACAACCTGCTCCCACCGGGATATGCGGCCTGGAACTAAGATCACACATGCCATGAGTGGCCAAAAAAAAAAAAAAAAAAAAATCCGAGGTTCGCTAAGTAACCAAGGGGACCCTGGGCTGGGAGGCCCTGGGGCCGGGCACTGAGGATGGGTCTGTGGGCTAGTCCTTCTTTGTAGATGCCACCTGCCTGCCCCCCACCCTGAGGTTTGGGGTGCCCCAGGCATTTTCATAGACGGCATCTCATTCAATAGCTAACACGTAGACGAATACCATATGCTATCACTTATTATGTGGAATCTAACATAAAAAGATGCAAATGAACTTATTTACAAAACAGACAAAGGTATCGAAAACAAACAGTTACCAAAGGGGAGGAATAAATCAGGAGCTTGGGGTGAACATACACTTACTACTATACATAAGACAGATAACCAACAAGGACCTACTGTATAGCACAGGGACCTCTATTCAGTATTCTGTGATAACCTATATGAGAAAAGAATCTAAAAAAAGAACGTACATGTATAACAATCACTTTGCTGTACACCTGAAACTAACACAACATTGTAAACCAACTATACTCCAATCAAATTAATTTTTTTTAAAAAATTAGCTAAGGGAGGGCTTCCCTGGTGGCGCAGTGGTTGGGAGTCCGCCTGCCGATGCGGGGGACGCGGGTTCCTGCCCCGGTCCGGGAGGATCCCACGTGCCATGGGGCGGCTGGGCCCGTGGGCCATGGCCGCTGAGCCTGCGCGTCCGGAGCCTGTTGCTCCACAACGGGGGAGGCCACAACAGTGAGAGGCCCGCATACCGCAAAATATAAAAAATAAAAAAATAAAAAATAAATAAAAAATAGCTAAGGGTGCTTCCCTGGTGGCGCAGTGGTTGAGAGTCCGCCTGCCGATGCGGGGGACGCGGGTTCCTGCCCCGGTCCGGGAGGATCCCACATGCCGCGGAGCGGCTGGGCCCGTGAGCCATGGCCGCTGAGCCTGCGCGTCCGGAGCCTGTGCTCCGCAACGGGGGAGGCCACAACAGTGAGAGGCCCGCGTACCGCAAAAAAAAAAAAAAAAAGAAAAGAAAAAAAAAGAAGCTAAGGGACTTCCCTGGTGGCACAGTGGTTAGGAATCCGCCTGCCAATGCAGGGGACACGGGTTCAAGCCCTGGTCCACGGAGATCCCACGTGCTGTGGGGCAACTAAGCCCGTGCGCCACAACTACTGAGCCTGCGCTCTAGAGCCCGCGAGTCACAACTGCTGAGCCCACGTGCCACAACTACTGAAGCCCACACACCCAGAGCCCGTGCTCTGCAACGAGAGGCCACCGCAATGAGAAGCCCACGCACCACAACGAAGAACAGCCACCGCTCGCCGCAACTAGAGAAAAGCCCACGTGCAGCAACAAAGACCCAATGCAGCCAAATAAATAAATTAACTAAAAAATTTTTAAAAAGTTAAAAATAGGTAACATGTAAAGCCGCCAAGGCAGGGATCTTTGGGGGTGACTGGCCCAGCCTCCTGCTCCCCGTGTGGGTCCCGAGGGAGAAATCCTCCTGGACCAGTTACCAGGGCAACTGGTGAATGCAGAGCCTGGGCCCGAAACCAAAATGCTAGGTCCACACTTCAAGCGGGAGGAAGGTTCTCGTCCCTTCAGGCCACACCTAGAGGTGAAGCCCCTACCAACACTTGACTGCAGCCAGGGAGAAAGGCAGTCCACCCAGGACCTTGCACCTCAGGGACCCCACCAGCCGGTGAGCACGGCCCAGTCTGGACAGTGGAATTGACTGATGGTCAGACTGGCCCTTCTGCTCTTTGGGAGGAACACAGGGAGGGTCCCAGTACTGGTGGACACGCTGATGAGCCTTCACCCGGCACGACAGGCTTGCAAGCCTGTCCCGTTTACCCACTGCCACGACGTCCTCCATCAGACAGGGTGTGCCAGTGTCTCCCCCATCGGACTGGGGCTTTCCTGAGGAGGAAGGAACCACAGCTCTCGGCAGACTGGGTGGTGCCTGCAAGCAAGAGCCATCACCCCATCACCCCAACCAGGGCAGGGGCTGTGATATCTCGTTCTTTCTTCCCCATCCAGCTCGAGCCCAGGCCCACACCTGGGTTCACACTGCCAAGCTGAGCCCCCAGGTCCTCAGGCCGGGAGGGCACTCAGCCAGTTCACGGCCCTGGGTAGAGCCAGATCCTGGCTGCAAAGGGCACTGAGCCAGCTGGGGCGGGCGTGGGCCCTGGGGGCGGGAGGCACCACCCAGGACAGTGGGGAGGGGGCCTGAGCACAGCAGGGTTGCGCTGCCCCCGAGGACAAGGGTGAGGCTGGACGGCACCCGGCCTGAAGCCCTGGACCCCCAGCCAAGGGCAGAGGCAGGGATGGGACTCCGAGGGCCGGGTGTGGGATGGCCCCCAGCAGCTGAGGGACCTAATGTGGATAGAACAGCTGCCACTCCTAGCTGGGGGACCTTGGGGAAGCTGCTTAGTTCCTCAGAGCCTGTTTTCCCATCTGTAAAATGGCCGTGATGACTGCATCTGCACCACCTACCTCAGTGGGGGTTGTGGGGACCCAGGGAGGGCACAGCCCAGCCCCGCCCCGCACACAGCAAGTGCTCAATAAACATCAGCTGCAGGCCAGGTGACACCCAGGGTTCTGCAGGCCCACCCAGGACAGAGCTGAGGCGCTGCACCCCACTCGCCCTGCTGCCCAAGTGAACCTCAGAGGCGCCCCCATCCCTGGCCTCCCCAGACCCCCATTCCCTCCTCCTCTTCCCGCAACCAAACCAGGTTACCTGCCTTGAGCGCTGGTGGCTGGCCCTGCCCCCACCATCCTGTCCTCACTCCAGCCCCACCTTGGGAGCAGCCCTGACTCCCATCTCCAGGCCTTTGCACACACCCTTCCCTCTGTCTCAAGATACCGCTCCAGGGCCACTCCTCCACGAAGCCTTCCCAGGTTGAGTCGCCTCATCCCTACAGTACTTTGAACCTTCTGGTTACAGTCCTTCCCTCTAGGGCCCGGCAACCGTCTCCCCTCCTTGAGGGCAGGGACCAGAGCTGGTTCACCCCATCCCAGACGCCCAGCACAGCATGGGCCAGGGTGGAGAGGAGACCTGCACTTGGCAAATACTTGTGGCACCAAACCGGGGCAGGCGTCCCCTCGCGGCCGAGGCTACAGCCCTGTGGCCGGGCTCCTTCCTTTCTCCACGGTTGGAAGAAGATTCTAACAGAGAGGCTCACGCTGAGCCCCAGCTCCTCCCTACCAGCCTTAGCCACACCTGGCACCACCCACCCTGATGGCTCCTGGGACCGGCAGTGTGTGTGTGTGTGGGGGGGGGGAGGTAAGACAGCAGGCCAGCAGGGCGGGGAGCTGCCCCTCCGTCCTCAGGCACGCATGGGGTTGTGGCCAGGAAGAAAGTGGACTCAGGTTGGGGTCTGGAGGCAAACTAAGGTTGGGGCACAGGAACTAGAGCTCGGGGCTAAGCCCCGCCCTCCTCTCCACCCTTCCCGCCTGCAACACTGGCACCTTCCCCCTGTTTATCTCCTGTCTGTCCTTCTGCCATGTCACCTCTTCCAGGAAGGTCTCCCTGATTTCCAGGGAGATCTGGTTGTCCTTCTCCTCCAACTAAAAATGATCAAAGCTAACCTTCAACGAGCTCCCACTGCATATGCCAGACTTCAGGGCTAACATCCATAATCACACCATTTTATTTAATCCCTAGAAGGACGTATAAAGTGGTAATACTGTCATCCCATTGCACAGATGAGGTAACTGTGACACAGAGAAGTTGAGATGCAGAACCAAAGTCTGAACCTTCTTAACTATTCCCCTTCTTGCTGAGCACCGCAGAGCAGGGATCCTGTTGGAGGAGTGTCTTTCTCACTGCTGTGTCCCCACCACCAGGTGTGGAGCCTGTCACAGAGAAGCAGGTTGAAGAAACGGGAGGCCCAAGAGGCTGGGCAGGGGCAGGCCAGCAGACACAGTCCCCTCTGGCCTGGCTCTCCCACATCCTCACCCCTTAGGCCCCCACCTGGGGCCTGTAGGTGGGACCCCGATCGCCATCCATCACTGTGCCCCAGAGCAGTGCAGAGCCCGGCACCGGGAAAGGAGCACCAGGACAGGCCTCACGGGGAGCACCGTTTACTAGGCCATCTGCAGTTGACTGTACAGTCCAGGGTGCACCAGGCTCAGCTGGGCTCCTCCCCAGGCGGTTGGGTGGGGGAAGCAGGCAGAATGAGGTAGGTGAGCCGAAGGGCAGCCGCACTGTCTTCTGAGAGGCGAGGTCTCTTCGGCTGCAGCCCCTCCCTTCAGGCTCCAGGGACAGTTGCCTCAGACCCTGGGGGTGAATCCCAAGGCGGGGTGGGCTGGCCCTGGGGGCTGACGGGCTCCTGGAAGAGTCCGTCAGTCAGGGCTTCCGGAAGGGTCAGCTCACAAGGTTTCGGAGGTGTTGGGGGTAGGCGGTCGGGCCGCAAGTTCTAGGCACCCCCACCTTCCTCCACGGCCCAGCCCAGGCTCAGCGGCACCGCCACTGCCCATACTTCTTCCTTCCTGAGTGTGGCATCTGCAGGTCCCTGTCATCCCGGGCTTGGCCTGGGTCCTGCTCAGCTGGGGAGGAGTGGCTGGCGCTCTGATGAGGTGGCGGCATCCCTGTATATCAGGAACTGTATGGAGATCCGAAGGAGTCAACGTCAAGGCCAAACGGAGCACAGCCTGCGTTGGACCTGCCCCAGGGTGGCCTGTGGCCCTCTTCCCTCCCTGCAACTCGGCCAGGTGGGCAGGGTCAGCCATGGCCTCCTGGCCTCTGCTCTTGCTGCCTTCCCACCCCTCAACCGGCCAAACCCCATTTATCTACCAAGTCCAGTGCTTGGGTCTTCCTCTCCAGGCAGCCTCCCCTGACCCCAGCCCCAGAATCTTGCCCTCCTCTCACCCTACAGCATCCTGGGGGTTTCAGCAAGTGGCAGGGGCCATTTGGGGGCACTAGAGCTTAACTTTCTTCATCTCTCATTGCACCCACCAGGAACTCCGCAAACGTCAAAACAGGGGCCCCGTTTACCTCCTCCCAAAGGAGATGCAAATAATGCCCTGCTCAGCCATCCAGCAAACAAACATTTACTGAGCACTCACTGTGTGCTGGGTCCGGTGCTGGGTATTTCCAGAGACCTTAGCTTATGTAATTGCCCCATGACCTTGGTGAGACAGCAAGATGAAGACATGGAAGCACAGAGAGGCTAACGGTTTGCTCTGTGTCACACACGACACGGGGGAGCCAGGATTTGAACTCAAGTTTTTCCATCTCTAATTCACGTGTGCGTGTCTCCACATTGCAGCTTTCCTTCCTCCTGCCTGGATGGGCTGATTTATGCCCCGTTCCCCAGACCCTCTGCACAAGCTGTGCCAGGAACATCCCTCCCTTGCCTGTGCCTAACTTCTCCTTCAGGGCACTGTTTCAATGGCACTAGTAGAGGCCGCTGCTGAGCCTCTAAACCAGGACAGACAGCCCCCTGGTCACACACTCTTGCAGTTTTTCTCTGTGCTACTCGGTGGCACCACAATGAAGTAATTATTTATGATTACGCGTATCCTGTCTGCCTCCCCACTGAACTGTGAGCTTCTTGAAGGAAGGACCACTCTGTTCTTACAAATAGATCCGGTACCTGGAGGGGTGCCCAGCACATGGGAGGTTTGACTCTTGGATGTATGTATGGATGGATGGATGGATGGATGGATGGGTGGATGGAAGAATGGATGGAAGGATGGATAGAAGGATGGATGGATGGATGGACGGACAGACGGATGGACAGAAGGATGGATGGATAGATGGATGGACTGGATGGAAGGATGGATGGATGGGTGGGAGGATGGATAGAAGGATGGATGGATGGATGGATGGATAGAAGAATGGATGGATGGATGGATGGAAGGAAGGATGGATGGATGGATGGATGGATGGATGGATGGATGGATGATGGATGGATGATGGATGGATGGATGGATGGATGCTGAAGCCACGTGCAGGCGGAGGCTGCTGTGGCCCCCCCGATCCCACCCACCCTCACACCCTGAAGGATACGATGGTGTCGAGCAGCAGGACGCCCAGGCTGCCCACGAGCCAGGGCAGGTGGTGCAGCACATAGCTGCCCTCGCTCTGGCCTACTTCGGGGTTTTTGAGCAGCACGCTTAGCCCATACAGCGTGTTCCCCAGCATCACCAAGGCGAACAGAGAGTAGGAGATCCCCTGTGTCGACTTCCGCAGGAACTGGAAGCGAGGGGTGTAGGGTCAGAGACCTCAAACGGGCCTCTTGTCTCTCTGGACTGTAACTGTCCATGTGTCCATCTGCCCTGTCACAATGCACATGCTCCGAGCAGACTGCACACGGTGTGACCAGTGTCCGACACGGGCCTGCTGCCCAGACCAGCCCTTTCCAGGGCCTGACTCCTCATCCCCGTTCCAACGTCATCTCCCGGGCCACCCTGCCCAGGTCGCAAGAGACTAGGGCTGTCCCACCCTGCTCGTCCCAAGGTGCCTGCTCCCCAGCCCTACGCTGACTCACTGCCCAGCAAGGCTCCCCCATCTCTGGTTCCCCACCTTCTCCTCTGCTCTCAGCCCCTCGCTCTCACCTGACCTCCGACCTCCCCGGGACACATGCAGGTCACATGTACCCCTGGATGGCAGGCATCTCATGCCCATTTCCAGAGGCAGAAATTGAGGCTTGGAGAAGTGGATTCAGTCACCCAAGCCAACAGTGAGTGTGGACCAGACCTGCTGCTACTCCCTAACCCAGGGGCCCAAGCTGTCAGCCGGCTCCTCTTCCCGTGGCCCCAGTGCCCCTGCCCACGGCTCACATTGGTGCGGATCTGAGGCAGCCGGGAGAGCAGGTACAACATGCTGGACACGGAGCCGATTACGAAGCCAATGATTTCCTGCTGTGTGAAGGGCTGAGAGGGCAGAGTGGAGTGCTCAGCAGGGGCCGGGGTGCAGCCTGAGAGCCCCAACTCCCTCCTCGAGTGCAATTCCCCTGACCTCGTGGTCATGCAGGGGCGGGCCCTCGGGGTGAGCCAGACCCCCACCCCTGCTCTACCCTCGTGTGCCCACACCTCACCTTATTGCCCGGCTCCACAGACAACAGCATCCGCCCCCGGAAGACCTCCCTGGGGGCAGCCACCAAGCCAGCACTGCTCAGCAGTGGGGCGGTACACGCCACCCCCAAGGTGAACAACAGCACAGAATTGATGGGGGCAGACCCTGGACATGAGGCAGGAGGGAAGCTGAGATTAGTGATCTGAGTGGCAGCAGACAGACTGGGCTTTGAGTCCTGGCCTTGTTCCTCAGTGGCTGTGTGACCTTGGGCAAGTGACCTAACCCCTCTGAGCTTTCATTCCTCATCTGTAGAATGGGTATAATTAGAGTACCCTTCTCCTAAGGTTGTAAAGGTAAACCGATGAGGACAGTGGGGGCAGAAAGGGAATTATAGAGCGTGGAAATGCTGAGACAGCCCCACCCCCAGGTGCCTGGGTCATTTCTTGTACAGCCCTGGATCTGCCCCTTCTGAATCCTGTGTGCCGTGTCCTTGTTTCCTCAGCTCCAAGCCCAGGGCCCGGCACTGAGGAGCAGCTGAAGCCTTGTTTGCTGAATGAGAGAACTTAAGTGAAAGGGGACTCCCTGTGGTCCTGCCCGGATGTGCTCGCTGCCCTCTATCTCGGCTCATCAGGGGATCAGGGCCCCAGCTTTCAGATAAGGCCCCGAGGAAGCCTTTTTTTTTTTTTTTTTTTTGCGGCATGCGGGCCTCTCACTGCCGTGATCTCTCCCGTTGTGGAGCACAGGCTCTGGACGCGTAGGCTCAGCGGCCATGGCTCACAGGCCCAGCCGCTCCGCGGCATGTGGGATCTTCCCGGACCGGGGCACGAACCCGTGTCCCCTGCATCGGCAGGCCGACTCTCAACCACTGCGCCACCAGGGAAGCCCCCGAGGAAGCCTTTTTGAGGTTTGGTTTATCACCAGCAATGGGAAACCTTCCTCCTCCCAAGCTTCCAGGCCTCCTGGCTGCCCTCAGCCACCTGACACAGAGGGATCCCTGTACTCACACAGAGAGGGGCGTTTCTTAAACTTGTAATGAAAGTACAGCGACAGCATCAGCACGTCGGCTAAGACGTAATACACAGCTGTGTAGGTCTGCAAGAGAAGAGGGGGCCCAGGGCGCTGGCTGCAGTCCCTGGCTCGGGGACCACACCCCAGCACCCGGGCAGCTCTGCCCCATCCCAGCTGGGTGACCCTGAGCAAGTTGCTTCACCTCTTGGAGCTTCTCTTTGCTCATCTGGAAAGGAAGGGATCAGTTCCTACCCGGCAGAGCTAGACAGCAGGTAGGCAAGGGCCTGGCAGGTGCCCGCCTGGGCAGACAGAGGAAACGGTGGCTAGCATGACCAGGCAGGACAAAATGGGACACAGAGGTTAAGTAGAGGCTACCATTTGGCCTGATACAGGGGCAATTTACAGCCCTCCTTGGGAAGACAACAGATTCCTGATTTTGAGTCCCAGCTCCACCCAGCCACAGAAGAATGATGGCACCTGGGCCTCCCCAGGGAAAACCTTCCTCCTCCAGGGCCCCATGCCCCAAAAGCTCAGTCAGGATCTTAGCACCTCAGAGGTCAAAGACCCCAGCCATCCTGTGGTTTGATGTGCTCATTTTGTAGATGGGGGAACTGAGGCCCACAGCCCATTGTCACACCGTGCGGCAGGCAGAGGGCTCTCTCTATAGCATGGGGCCCTCGCAAGATGGAAGCCTCTGCAGACTGTCCCTGGCAGCCCACCCAGCCCGGGGACCAGCCCACCTGCAGAGGCAGCTGGTCAGCAAGGAAGGAGCCAATGAGATTGCAGGAGTCTCCGCCGATCCAGCCCAGGAGGAACCACAGGGACAGGGCCTGGTCCATGTTGCCCATCTTGCAGGCCTTGATGTACTGGCTGTGGCAGAGGAGGGAGACGTGTGCTCAGGGGCCGACGGCTGTGATACTGCATGGAGGGTAAACATGGGAAGAGCCAACACGGAATAGCGGGGCCGGGGTGGCGTCTGCACAGGGGGTCGCCTGGGAGCTGATCCTTCCCACAGGCGGGATCCTCATGCGCCTTTCTTTGCCCTTTGGGGATTCTTACCAGGGGATCCCTTCCAAGCCAGGAGCTCTATGGGACATGCATCTTTCCAGAGAGAGCCATTGCACGATAGATTCTCCCCCACAGCAGTCTCTTGGTGGGGACCTGGGGTCTTTACAGGCCCTGATGTTTTGTGTCAGACCCTGAGAACCACTTCATAGGGACCCTGGGTTCTCTCTTCTATGGAGGAGCGGGACAGGGGTGGGGGGGGTGGGGGGGTGGTGTTTGGAAGGAAGGAGGATGGTGGCTGCCTTACAGCCGAGGCCTGGGCGATGCCCTATCTCCAGGGGAAATGGATGATAATATGGGCCTGTTATCTTCAAAGGGCAACAGAGAAGCCTCAGGCTGTGGCTCCCAGAGCTCTGATTACAAAGCCATGGGGTCAAGTCTTGATGGGCCTCTTTGGGGATGGAAAAGTCAGGGAACCAGGATTCACACTCAGACCCTGAGGTTCCAGGCTTGCTCTGAGTCATTCCACAATGGCCATCTGCTGCTTACATTTCTCTTTAATCATCTGCATGTATTTAAATTAGTAAAAGGTAACTAAATAACACCTCACCCCACCTTCCACCCAAGACAGAAGCTAGGAAAGCTAGGCCTGGCCCTGGTTCTTCACGGTCATCCTTCCACCTCCATCTCCTGCTGACCCCGCCCCCAGCTCTTTAGGTCTTCCGCCCAAGCCTGTGTTCCTTGTTTCCAACTCCCTCCTCCAACAGGGGACACTCCGACCCCCACCACCTCTTCACCAGGACTGCCTTCTCTTCCTCCAAACTCTGCATCAGCAGATGGCTCACCCAGTCCCTCCTCTGTATCTTTCAGGAAATAATCAGTTCCTCCTCAGGGCCTTCCTAGAAGGGAGCTCTGCCAGCATTGGTCAGTTCCTCCTGGACTCAAGCTTCCTGAGGGAAGGGACAGTGCCCAGCATGGGCCTGGCCTGGAGAGGCCCTTAAGGTTTACCCCGTGGCCCTGCCCTTCCAGGATACTGTGACTTGAAGAGCCTCCATAAATTTCAGGGAAAGTGATTTTGTCACACTCAGGAAAGGCCGAATCCTAAGGAGAAGCAGGAAGGTGGCTGCCCTCCCCGCCATCACCTGGGGCTTCTCCCAGACCTCTGACACCCCCTCCCTGGTTAATCAGCCAGGCCCAGGCAGGGCTGGCACTATGCCCTGGTGGAAAGGGGAAGCCTCAGCCAGCTCCACCAGCTCCTCATGCTTCTGGGGAAGCTCTCACCCCAAGATGGGAAGTCTCTCTCCCTTGGCCTCCACCCATCACCCAGACCTGTCTGCTTTGCCTGCTAAGGGCCACCTATCCAATCCCCCAGACATCATTGCTTGCTGGATGCCTTACACAGCCTCCCTGCCTCCAGTCTCTACCCCGTTCCTCCAGTTCTCCTTCCCTAACAGAAGGTCTACAAAGGCAAGGATGGGGTCAGTTTTGCTTATTTCTGCCACATCTAGTATGGCAGCTGGGACAAGGTGAGTCAGTAAAAATGTCAAGCCCTAGACAGCATGTTGGGACAACTTGATGAGATAAGGGTAGTCTTTTTTTTTTTTGGCCGCTGCACGGCTTGTGGGATCTTAGTTCCCCGACCAGGGACTGAACCTGGGCCCTCAGCAGTGACAGCACAGAGTCCTAACCATAGGACTGCCAGGGAATTCCCAATGGTAGTCTTTTTAACACATGGTACTGGGACAACCTGGTACCGCATGCAAAAGAACGAGGTTGGATCCCTACCACACACCGTATACAAAATACAACTCAAGCTGAATCAAAGCTCTACATGTAAGAGCTAATTTGTGATACTGTGATTTACAATAAGAAATATATATATTTGGTCTTCTTCCCTGTTCCCTGCACAGAGCTCTCCTAAGAATGTCCTAAGGGGTGAGAGAGAAAGAGAGAAAAAAAGGTGTCTTTTGTAATGTTAATGAGGTGACTTTCGGAAAGCCCTTAGGTCACCTGAGGAAGGTTGGGACATTTGGTCTCGAGGGCCCCTGTCCCACCCTCCTCACCCACCTCAGGGGAGGAGAGAGGCTCGAGATTGAGCCCAATCGCTAATGGCCAATGCCTGTGTAATAAAGCCTCCATAAAAATCATGCCTCTGAGTTCTGTGAGCTGCTCTAGCAAACTAATAAAACCTGAGGAGGGGTGGGGGGAATCTCCGACCTACAGCTGGAGGTCAGAAGCACAAGTGACAGCCTGGACTTGTGACTGCTCTCAGAAGCGGGGAGGAGGGAGCACTCTTGTGGGACTTGTTGGACTGGGACCCTAACCTGTGGGATCTGAGGCTGTCTCAGGTGTAGATAGTGTAAGAATTGAGTTGACTGCTTGATGGTGTGGCAAAAAAACACATCAGAATTGGTGTCAGTCTTGGATAAATCTATATAAAACTCTTAGAAGATAAGGGTGAATCTTTGTTACCTGGATTAAGCTATCTTTCTAGACATGATAGCAAAAGCACAAGTAACAAAAGAAAAAAACACATAAATTGGACATCATCAAGGCAATTCCCTGGCGGTCCAGTGGTTACGACTCCGAGCTCCCATGCAGGGGGCTCAGGTTTGATCCCTGCTCGGGGAACTAAGATCCCACATGCTGCACGGAGCGGCCAAAAAAAAAAATGGACATCAACAAATTTTTGTGCTTCAAGCGACACCATCGAGAAAGTGAAAAGACAACCCACTGAATGGGAGAAAATATTTGCAAAATATATCTAGAATATATAGAGAACTCTTATAACTCAACAACAAAAAGACAAATAATCCAATTGAAAAATGGGCAAAGAACCTAAATAGACCTTTTTCCAAAGAGAATATAATTTGGCCAATTAAGCTACTTAATATCACCAGCCAACAAGGAAATACAAATGAGAACTATGAGATACCACTTCACACTCACTAGGATGGTATAATAAAAGAGACAGAAAATAACAAGTGTTGATGGGGATTTAGAGAAATTGGAACCTTCATGCGCTGCTGGTGGGAATATAAAATGGTGCAACCGCTTTGGAAAACAGTCTGGCAGTTCCTCAGAAGATTAAACACAGAGTTACCATGTGACCCGGCAATTCCACCCCTTAGGTATACACCCAAGAGAAGCAAACACACATGTCCCCACCAAAACTTGTACATGAACATACATAGCAGCCTTAATCACACTGGCCAAAAGGTAGAAACCACCCAAATGTCCATCAATGAACGACTGAATAAACAAAAGTTATACACATACACATACAACAAAAACTACTACTCGGATGTAAAAAAGAATGAAGTATTGACAGTAGCTACGTATGACGTGGATGAACCTTGAAGATGTTATGCTAAGTGAAAGAAGCCAGTCACAGAAGGCCACATACTGTATGATCCATTGATATGAAATGTCCAAAATAGGCAAATCTACAGACAGAAAGTAGATTGGTGGTTGGGGCCAGGAGATTTAGAGGGAAATGAGGAATGACTCATTTCTTTCTGTGTTTCTTTTTAGGGTGACAAAAATGTTCTAAAACTGATCACGCCAATGCTCGCACAACTCTGCACATACTGAAACCTTGGACTTGTACATTTAAATGGGCTAACTCAATGGTATATGAATTATCTCTCAATTAAACTGTTATCTTTCTCCCTCAGGAGAAACAGCATAAGATTTCCTAACAGTGGAGAATGCCCTTACATTACAGGGCCCTGGATGACCTCTTTGACCTCACCTCTCCTGTTCGGCGCCCCCTCTGCCCAGACATAGGACTGAGCGTAAGGTGTGTAAAGGCCATTGTCATAGCAACCCTGTGAGGTAGGGAACAACATTCCCATTTTACAGATGAGAAAACTGAGGCACAGAGCAGTGAAGGGACTTGCCCAGGTCACAGTGTGTCCACGTTCCCTAATCACAGCAGTGGCCATGCTGTTTTGTAATCACTGCTTGTCCTCCACCAGACTGTCACAGAACAAAGGCCAAGTTCGATGCACCCCAGCCCTCCCACTCCTCCGCCTCCTCTCTGACTAGCTGTGCAATTCACAGCAAGTTAGTTAACCTCTCTGGGTTTCTATTCCCTCGTAAAGTAGCGATACAGATTGTATCTATTTCACAGGGTGGTTATGAGGATTAAATAGGGTAAAGACATGTCAAGCGCTTAGAAATGAGCTAGGTACACAGTGGGCACTCACTGAACAGGTGTTATTATTATTACCTGTGTGTCAGCATGGTCCAGCACTAGGCGGGGCCTAGAGTGAGGTTCGCTGTAGGGCCCTCCAAGGGTGGGCTGGAAGTCAGTCAGTGGGGGTGGGAGAGGGAGCACACTTGGCCTTGAGTCTGGAGAGGCCCAACGCCAGCCAGCGAGCCACTCTTCGGTGCAGCCCCAGGAGCACCTGCCCCACCCGTGCCACCCAGCCCTGGTCCCACCACCCTGATGCTACTCACGGGAGGGTGGACGCAGCAAAGCAGAGAATGGAGATCAAGCCCAGGCCCACGCTGGCCTTGTCCCAGCCATCCCAGGCACACTCGCCAAACACGTCCCATATCCACTGGCTGGAGCCATTGGGGCAGCTGGAGAAGTTGCTGGAGCCCAGCTTCCTCCAGACCATGGCTTCGGAGGGAGGGAGGGAGGGAGGGAGGGAGCCGGTGTGCTGAGGCAGGCGACAGCTCTACAGGGAACAAGACAGGGGCCTTCAGCCTTGGGAGGTCTGGGTCCTAGTCATGGTCCCGCCACCCTAAGCCCATTCCAGCCTTATCACCCAGCATGGACTGAGCCCCTGAATGAGAGAACACAATCAGTACAGAGATCAAAGTAACCACATATGCAGGGAGGGCACTGGATGTGTGGTCAGAGACAGGTGTATTCGAATCCCCACTCTGCCTGTTAACGCCTCGACCTTGGGCAAGTGACTCAGCCTTGCTGTGCCTCAGTCTCCTCATCTGCAAGATGGGGCGATAACAGTGCCTCTCCCATACAGCTGTGAGGGTTCAATGAGTTCATAAATCTAGTGTAGAGAACTGAGCCCTCAAACAATGCCACCTTTGTTCTAACTCTTGAACATTTCGATTGTTTCCAATCTTTTCTTCTTGCAGATCACGCTGCGAGGGTCTGCTGAGACCAGGCCCACTAAGTACACCCTCTCATTTAAAGTACGGCTGTCCTGGGAATCCCCTGGTGGTCCAGTGGTTAGGACTCAGCACTTTTACTGCCAGGGCCTGGGTTCAATCCCTGGTCAGGGAACTAAGATCTCACAAGCTGTACCACTCAGCCAAAAAAAAGAAAAAGGAGGGCTGTGTCCCCTAGTACACCGGTCAGATGAGGCAAGTGGTGAAGAAGGAGCAGGTGAGTTGCACACATGGCTGGGATTCAAGCTTGGGCTCAAGCCGCATTCTCCCAGCATTCTCCCAGCAGCTCCCGTGTGTAGGACGCCTGCTGGCAGAGTCTGGAGCCACCTCCCCATTCTCACCGCCGACAAAGCCAGGAGCTGGCTGGTTGCCGGGGCAGGCAGCGAAGTCCCCAGCTGGTGTCCTAGAGCAGTCACAGCCTGTGTGACAGTCCCAGAGGAGGAAGAGGAAGTGGGGCTGCTGGGCAGAATCATCACAGCCCCTGACAGCTGAGCACTTTACCAGCTCTGTGCTAAGCACCTTACGTAGGCCTCTCTGCATTTTGCTGCACATCAACTCTATGAAGTGGGGGCTACTGATATGTCTGCGTGGACCCAGGGAGGTGACTTGCCAGGACCACCCAAGCAGGAAGCACTCATAGCCATCATGCTTCTGTCCCTGGGAACGGCGGCACCTTCCTGTGGTCTGGCAGGGCTGCCCAGGGTCTCATGCAGCCAAAAGGCAGGCTTCCCCTTTTCTCACTGCGCTCAGAGGGGCGTTCCTCACCTGGGAAGAGGCTCTCTCCAGCCACCTTCAGTTTCTGCTTGTGTCAAAAGACCCAGGATCCTCGTAAAGCAATGCCCCGCAGACAATTCCATAGACCAAATGCTTATGTCCCTCCTGTCCTGTTGAAATCTAACCCCCAATGTGATGGTATTTTTGAGGTGGGGCCTTTGGGGAGTATCTAGGTCATGAAGGCAGAGCCCTCCTGAATGGGATTAGTGCCCTTATAAAAAAGACCCCAGAGAGCTCCCTCGCCCCTTGCGCCAGGTGAGGACATATCGAGAAGACAGCCATCTATGAACTAGGAAGTGGACCCTCACCAGACACTGAATCTACTAGCACCCTGATCTTGGACTTCCCAGCCTCCAGAACTGTGAGAAATCAATGTTTGTCTCTAAGCCATCCAGACAAATGGTATTTTGTTACATTGGCCCAAACGGGCTGAGACACCCTGGCTGGACCCTTGGAACTGCTGAGGCCACAGCGACCTGGGAGCGTCAGGCAGGGAAAGGAAGCGAGTCAGCTGCTTTTCTTAGGAAGCTCTAGGCTCTCAGCTCTAACGTGACTCAACAGCGAGTCCCAGAGCTGGGGGCAAGGGCACCCCAGGTCACTGCCTGCCTGGTTCACTGCAGTCCCTCCGGAGCCCTGCAAAGGGGGGCTGAAGGTCTCTTCCTGTACCTTGGTGACCACCCCCCACCCCCCGACCTTCAGCACAGCTGATGCTGGAGCCATTTATCTGCTGTCCTGCCACCAGCAGCTGCAAGGCCACCCCAGGTTAACACGCAGTCCAGGTAGGAGCTGGGTTTTTGCGGTGCCTCAGGCATTTCAAATCAAGTCCTTTTGTTCCCCAGCCACACCTCCAGTGGGCCACTTCCCCAAGCCTCCTCTGGCAGAGCCTCAACACACCACGGCAGGTCATCACAGTAGTATACTGCCATCCTCGTTAACTTCTCTGTGAGGGGAACACTGTCCTCATTCTGCAGATAAGGTTGAGTGGCCTTGTGCAAGTAACAGTCTGAGCCTGTGTATAAAACGAGGATAATGACGCCCACTCCTTGGGGTTGTTGCATAGATAAAATGCACATAAAGCTCTTAGCCCAGGGCCTGACACAATGGTAGTGACTAAGAATGAGAGACCAGTATCTCAAGTACCCTGAGGTCACTCTCACTCCCTCTTTTCACCAGGCTAGGGAAGAAAGAAAGTGGACACATGCCCAGTGAAGGAGGGATGGGTGTCTTGGGGGGATGTACCTTGGCTCATAGGGCCCTGGGTGGGTGGTCGCCTGTCCATGCATGGGGTCCATGTGCAGCTCGGGGCTCAGGATACTTTGAGACACACCTGAGCCCGGAACAGAAGACACTTTCCTCTGAGGGCCACTGTGCACAGAGCCTGTCACCCGTCGGTTCTGACCCAAGTAGGAAGCCAGCCTGGGCCCAGGCCTGGCTTCTGAGACCGGGCCCACCTCCTAGTCCAACAGCACTGAGCAAATGGATGGCCAGGGTTGCAACAAAGGTTGACCAGGTCTGTAGGTATGACAAGGACCACAACAGGGGTGCCTTGTGGTTTTTGTTTTTTTTTAATTGAAGTATATAGTTGATTCAGGGGTGCCTTGTTATCATAGAGGGCACATGTTTGAAATTCAGGATCAGTGTGTCAGAGCTGGGATCAGGGACCTTGGGTTTAAGAAGCTCCCCCAGCATATTCTGACCACATGTATTCTGTGCACATGACCACACTTTAAGAAAGGCGGAGGGTGCTTCCCTGGTGGCGCAGTGCTTGAGAGTCCGCCTGCCGATGCAGGGGACATGGGTTCATGCCCCGGTCCGGGAAGATCCCACATGCCGCGGAGCAGCTGGGCCCGTGAGTCATGGCCGCTGAGCCTGCGCGTCCGGAGCCTGTGCTCCGCAACGGGAGAGGCCACAGCAGTGAGAGGCCCACGTACCGCAAAAAAAAAAAAAAAAAGAAAGGCGGAGGGACTTCCCTGGTGGTCCAGTGGCTAAGACTCCACACTCCCAATGCAGGGGGCCCAGGTTTGATCCCTGGTCAGGGAACTAGATCCTGCATGCCACAACTTAGAGCCCGCATGCCGCAAGTAAAGATCCCACATGCCGCAACGAAGACCTGGTGCAGCCAAATAAATAAATAAATATTTTTAAAAAAAGAAAAGAAAAGAAAGGCAGCCCTGGAAATGGCATCCGCTGCCACAGCCATGTAACTCGTCCAGATCCCAAGCTGAGTCACAGAGATGCTCCCCACTGAAGCTGCTCAAGTGGCCACCTTTATCTACCAGATAAGTCCAAATGCCTTGAGACTGAGCCCCAGGGTACTCCAAGAACTGCCCTCCCCCCCATCTCCTGTCCCTCCCTCTAGGCCTTTAGACAGTCATTCCCAGGTCTCCTGACTTCTGTCCATGCCGTCTCTTCCCCTAGACTTGGCCTTTTCATCCTACACAGCATAAAGAGAAACTAAGACCCAGTTCTAAATTGCCGTCTCAGTTTAGAGGGTCCTCACAGGAGCTGGCGGGAAAACACCTGTCACCTCTTCCCTTACCTCCTCCACAAACCCGAAGAATGCTCATCACACTCCTCAGCCACTGCTGCCCTTTAAGCCCACTCCTCTCCCTTCACCCTAGTTGTAAACTTATTCTTAGGCCCCAGACACACCAGGTGCACAGTAAAGGTTCAAAAAACAGCAAGAGACAGACAGACAAGGAGGGAGGGGAGAGGGAGAGAGAAAGGAAGGAAAAGAAGGTAGAAAGGGAGAGAGAGAGAGAGAGAGAAACAAAGAAAGGAAGGGAGAATGGGAGACCTAATTGTGAGCTTGGATGGCCTAGAGTTGAGGAGAAAGCACTCTGGAACTGACCTGCCTAATGCCTACTGGTAATGAATTCTTGGTCAAGTGACTGAGCCTCAGAGTTCCAACCTGTAAAAAGAGGGAATAATGCAAGTATCCACCTGCTAGGCTAATTGCAGAGTTAAATGAGAGAATCCAGGCTGAGGGATTAGAATGGCGCCTGGCACAGGCTAAACCCTCAGTAGAATAACCGGGAATGGCTATTATTCTGTTCTGTCTATAGCTCTCTCCCCTCCCCCCACAGGGTTCCTGGCAAACAGCAGGCTTCAGTAAGCCTTGAAAAGACAAGACTGCGTCAGTCCTCATACTTCCAAACACAGACTCCCCATGTACACACTTGGAAACCTGTCCTAGGCATGGAGTGGGAGGGGACAATCTGGGCTCCCTGCAGAATTGGGGAGCACCTGAGGGGAGGAGCATCCCGCCTTGGGGCTACCACCCACTCCAGCCCTCCAGGTCCTCGGTCACAACTCCCTCCTAGTGACTCAGCCGAGCACCGGCCGCCTGTTTGGCGGGGATAATAACAGGGCAGCCGCTGGGGTCAGCGCTCATTCGCCGCGAAGCCCCCTCCTCTGGCCCGCCCTGGGGAAAACAAAGTCGTCAGAAACGCAGGGGCCCGTCGGCCGGGAACAAGAGGTGAAAAAGGAACCCAGACCCCAGGCCCTAGGTCACAGCGGCCCGAGGGGTCACGCTGGTCGCCCTTGAGGAGGGGGCCCTGGGCCCCCGCCGAGGGCCTCCCAATCCCAGCCCAGAGCCTCGCTCCAAGATCTCGCGCCCCGAGGTGGGGGCAGTAGCCCCAGGACCATCCAGGGGCTGGAGGAGGGTATTGGAAAGATGTAGCAGGGAAGGCCCAGAGTCCCGAACCGCAGCCCCAGCCTCAAATTCGGCTTACCAAGTCTAGAGCCTCCCC